AATGTAAAATATCATATTTATTGTTACTGTAGCAAAATTCTCTTAAGGTGTTCCTTTAGCCTTGCTGAACACTATATATTGTAGTCATTTTTGTTGTTTGAACTCTGGAGTAGCAAGTAAACAAACAAAAATAATCATGTAAATCATTTATATGGTTTAAAAACTCCCAAAAAACTAAGTACTACTACCAGGCACTGTAATATGTAGTGGGGTTTCATCTATATTCAATTTTCATCAACTGTCAACACAGTTTATACAGCTCTTGTCTTCTTTCAATTGATTTTGCATAATCTCTCTAACACAACTTGAGCATGTTTTCATTTTTGGAGAGGAATTTACTCACTCACTCTTAATTCCCAGTCAGGGGCTTCTTTGGCAAAATGGGTGCACCATTTGGGCCTGACATGTGAATGGACTGCAAGGATTAGTGTGGATTAATGCGGAGTTTACTTGATGGCTGCTGAGATTTATCTGGCCGCTGCTTCCAACTAACGAATCCAACGCTCCTCGTTTAACAAGGTGGAGGTTGAGTGACAGGTTAAACGTCTGTGCGAAAACAAAAACATCTCTCACCCGGTGTGCTAGCATTAAGACATCAGCATGTACAGCAGTCACCGTAGCCTCTGACATCAAACGTGCAGATCTGTCATTCGGCATGAGTATCTGTTAGCGCACTGCCGCACGGTTGCGACCCTTTACTTATTAATCTGTCACAACAATTGTATGCGAGCTATTAGAAATGCATTAGTTCTGGTAATACATACAGTAGCAGTTGTGATTCAGCCTCTGCATTTTAAATGAGAGGGGATAGAATTAATCTAAAGGACTGATTGCACTTCCATCATTCAGATGAGATTGTGGACATAGGCAGCGTGTGCACGGCAAATTTCTCCAATTTCTTCCACCAGTCTTTACATGTCCGTTATGGGACATTCCTCAGTGACATGGAGAAACACAGTTATGATTCTCCCTTTTTTTTCCCCCAAAAACTGACATTGTTGGAAAGTTGTGGTAATAGACTACTTATGCAATCTCTCTCTAAGGGGCCTCTTCCTGTCTCTCTGTCTCTCTCTCTGAAGTCATCGGTAACCAGTTACTTCTGAAGGCTACTACAGTGACCACAGAAGTATTTGGACACTTGGGTTACACTTAAAAATGTATGAATGTTGTGGCATTAGATGACAAAAGCAAGTGGAATTTTTCTTAAAGAAAGAAATAAAGCACAAACACACTTTACATAAGCAAAACAATACAAATAGTTACATTTGAAACAATGGACATAGTGTTCAAAATTAATTCAGTAACATATTCTGACACGTCTTGGCTGTGAAGCATTAGTGGATCGTGATTATAGTTAACGTGATTCTCTACACCTGTGGTTTACTCTGTTAGGACACCTGTGTGAACTTGAGGAGAAATGACTTCACGCACCCTTTACAAACAACCTTGACACCTGTTGATTTCAGTCAAAATGAGTGAGTCTGAGAAAAGGTCTGGCATCATTCTTGCATTATTTCCAGACACCGTATCTTTGATGATGTATTTCTAATGTAGTGACATTCATACATTTTTCAATGTGGCCTAAGTGTCCAGATGGCTGCACTTCTTAACATTACAAGCAATGTTAAGCTAACCGTTACATTTAGTTTGGTCCGGTGTAACCTAATATATTCAGGTTGCTTCAGTAATGTTAATGTAATTAGTGCCTGAGCATTAGACTTTTTAGAGCAGCGAAATCCTATCTAATTTTTATAAATACTTTTTGAGAATTTTACTCTTGCTTTTAACAAAACTGATTGATATTTTTCTAAATTGTTTTGAACGCTCAGATGTGTCTGTACTATAAAACAAAAAATTGCAACATGTATATGTAGAGCAATATCACATGTTTATAGAACAGATCGATGCACAAGTACGTAAATAAACAAGCAACAACCACGGAGTGTCTTTAAAACCCTTTTGTATGTGGAAATACTTCCTTCCTCCACGGATTCAAATCTCAAGTTAACAGATGAGCACAAACCTCCGTTACTAATTTGAAAACGTTGCGAACGCTTAGTTACTTCATTGAAAGATCACTGTATTATGTAGAGCAGAGTATTATGAGAGAGAGATGGAGTGAGTGAGTGTGATTACCTGCATCTGATACAGTATTCATTCTTCAGCTCAATCTCATATTCACAATAAAACATTAGTTTGAATGTCTGCTGAGGAAAGCGATATCTTTGTCGTACTATCCTTTCCAGTTTCCGATGACAGTGCTGCTCAGTGCGTTTCTTATCTGCGTCTTACAAGGTGTTGTTGAACAGTGTTGGGCAAGTTACTCTGAAAATGTAATTAAATTACTGATTAATGATTACTCCTTTTAAAAGTAATCACATTACTGTTCTGATTACTTTATTTCAAAAGTAATTAGTAATTAGTTACATTACTAGTTATGTTACTTTTTTCTCCATGAAATTCATGAAATCCCAGCATACATGCTCCCGATAAGTATTTGTTATTAAAGCATCAACATTCACACAACACTGTTATTTTTAACTAAAGCAATAGATGAACAATTTATTTGTTTTAGATATTTTATGTTTAGATATTTCTATTTTGCAGGAGTCCCGTGAATCATTTTATTGTCCCGCATCCCGCACATACACGAGTCTCTGCACTCGCCTATCAAGTCTTGTCCTGCGCCGCACTCTGTTGCGTCGGGTCTCGCGGGAGAGCGGGTCTCTAATCCACTGGCACTTGACTCGACAGTGCGTGAGCTACATCCTTTTTACAATCTAGATTAGAAATCACTGCATTCTGCCAGCAATGTAACGCGGCAGTAACGTATAGAGACCTCGGCTTGTAACTATACTCTAATTACTATTTTGAAAATTATAACGCGTTAAATTACTCCGTTACTAAAAAAGTAATCAAATTACAGTAACGCGTTACTAAGTAATGCGTTACTGCCCAACACTGTTGTTGAATGTAAAATAGCATCCTAGTTTACAACCTTGTTTCAGACTCTTTTAATATAAAAGTTTGACTCTTGACTCTTGTCTCTTGTCGCCACCTAATAGCAAAACAATGTAACTAAAATCACCGTCACTAGCACACACTCCGTTTCTCAATACTACTAAAAGATTTGCTCTCGAACAAATAATAGATTCATGAGACCAAACACTGCACGTTAGATTTACCCAAAACCAATTATATCTCATGTTTAACCACTATAGACACATCAGAGACAGCGGCAAATTTCAGAACTAGAGGTGAGGTGATCTGTTTATGAGCAATTTTTAAAAAAATATGCACTATTTTTATTAATAATCTCAGAATGAAAACTTTTGACTTTAATTAAATCAAACAATTAAATGTGACCACCTGCAGTATTTTTATCCAGTTTATGATTCATATGGTAACATCTCAATGAACTGATTTTTAGTCAAAAATATTATTTTACTATATTTATTATTGTTATTATTCTGTGCTTCATGTGGTAGCATCTAAATTGAATTTATTCAAGTCACAATTATTATTAAAAATTAATATTAAAATTCCATAATGAATACGTTACACCTTCATTTAAGGGTTATATTAAAGAATAGTTCCTTGAGGGTTACGGTCACCACTTTTAATAGTTGTACAAGAGAGAAAAAAAGTTAATTGAATAGTTTCACACCAGTGTGTGGTTTTATTTTTGAGGCTTGTAAACTGAATATATGTACACACCTATGGTATCCGTCCATTAAGTATGCATAAGTACGCTATACAATACTAATGCTCTTCATTACACTAATTACACAGTGGCCCCACTGTTTCCTGTCGGCTGACATAGACCAGACACAACATAGCGTACAGCAACAAATGACAGTGATCACTCATGCACTGCTGTTTCTGGATCTTAAGCACAGCGTCTACTGTTTAATAACTCATCCAATATGCTTCCTATTGTGTCTGATATGAGAGTGTTGTATTTGAGGCAGAGTGGGAATGTCAGTTTTGAGGGCCCTGCTGTGAGAGCTTGACTCTTACACATTCACAGAGGCTGGCAAACAAAAACAATTTGACTCCCCAGTTTCTCTGAGCCAAGCCTGAGTTTATTATCTCTATTTATGCCAGCTTTGCACAGTGTCAAGAGAGCTTGACGGTAACAAATGAAAGTTTAAGAGGTTGAGAGCCACGGTTCCTGCCGTCTGTTATTGTTTTCTTATTCAAGTTTCATCAAGTGAAGAATAAGAGCTGGAGTGCTGAGGAATTATTAATCCAGAGATGTATTTTCTAGAGCAGGGTTTGCATAGCTTCACAAACACAATGTTCACAAAGAAAGAACAAACACATTTTCATTTGTGTTAAGAACTTTAACACCATGATGTTTGCTTTACATATGTACTTTCTCATCAGTTGCCAAATAAGTTAAACATCACTTAATTCTACTTCAACATTGTAATGCTACATCACTGAATCAGTGTCTCTCTCTAAACACCACAATAAATGCAGTACTCTGAAATACAAGTAACAGCACCAAATGATGTGTTTTGCGAAAGCACAAAAGTACCATAAAACCGACCACATAATTAGACTCATCACAATTAATTACATTCAGTTATTCAGCCGCAGACGTTCTGAGCTTCTCGATGTTTCATTTTCCACGTTATCACATGACACATTGCATCACATCCAGTGTTATTTTGTACCGGGACCGAGGCTCCCATACGCTTTCAGAACATAATTACAATCTCAACAATAACGTATCTATTACTTGATGACCGTAAATGAGCGCTCTGCCACATCTGCATTTTTATTTTACGGCCATCTGTTCTGCTAGCCGTTGTGTTTAGCTTTCGCAGTTTAATAATGAATCAGAGGCTTTGAAGAGAACAAGTACCACAGAACAATATACATGTTCATTATGGCCATCTCATGATTGACCATCTGCCCTCTTGTTTAGGAAAAAAATGTGAAGTCTCATGAATAAGGCAAGACGTAAAGGAAATGTAATGAGAGTGGAGAGGATGAGATAGGTATTCATCAAGATTCAGATTACATGGAATTTTATTGGAAATGACTAAGATGGTCATTTATTCAGGGATATTTCCTATATTCATCGAATGATGAACATATTCTCCACTAATTTGCAGTAAATACACAACGTTTGTTCCACTATATTGCAGTTTTGCCCAGCGCTTTAACATTATTACTGTACAGCTTCTTTAAAATAAACAAGACCTCCAAAAAAAAAAACATTCAAATAAACATCTACATTTCCTCTGATAAAACATTGCAAGTCACTTGTGGATTCAATAATCTGTTCGTTGTCTGTAAAAGACACTGGGAACGCACAGACCACCCTTGTGTCATTCTTTGGGGAAGTATAGCTTTTTATAGACTAGAGATTAGCCTCACTTAAGGGACGTCGCAGCCACTTCCCCTGCTCTCCAGCACAGCAGGAGGGCTCTCTTCCCAAAGTCTTAATCCCGAATCCTTTTCCCACCTGCCTTCCTTGGCAAAGGATTGGTGTGACATTGCTTTTCAGTTCTTATTCAGGCTAGGTGTCTCCATGCTATTGCTTCCCGGACAGAGTCTCTGGCATCCCAAAAGGATGGCAAAGGCTCGGCGAAAGTCGGCGTTGAAGGCGTATATGATGGGGTTGAGAGATGAATTGGCCCATCCGAACCAGACAAAAACATCAAACGTTGTTGGACTGATGCAGGGGAGACCGGCCGACGTGCGCTTACAAAACGGCACCATGCAGTTCAGGACGAAAAAGGGCAACCAGCAGCACACGAAAACCCCCATTATAACAGACAGCGTTTTTAAGACTTTCGTCTCCCTTTTGAAGGACAGTCTGAAGGAGCTCTCCGAGTCCACGTTGGAGCTGCTGCCCATGCTGTCGTGGCGGATCTTGGCACTCTCCGCAGCCCTTTCCAGAGCCGAGATCCGTCGGATCTGCTTCTGGGCGATCCGGTAAATCTGAGTGTATGTTACGATCATGATGGCGACGGGAATGTAGAAGCTGATGAGCGAGGACGAAATGGCATACGTTCGGTTGAGGCTGGAGTCGCAGTTGTCCGTCAGCAGAGCCCTGCGAGATGCATTGGCCTCCGGAAAGCCTATCGGCTGAGCCTTGTGCCATTTGAGCTGCACCGGGATGAAGGAGATGAGAACGGACAGAGTCCAAGCCACGCTGATCATCACAAAGGCCACTCTGGGAGTCATCTTCCTCTCATAGCGGAACGGGCTGGAAATGGCCCAGTATCGGTCCACACTAATAATGCACAGGTTCAGGATAGACGCCGTGGAGCACATGATATCGAAAGCCACCCAAATGTCACAAAACGCTCCAAAGGGCCAGAAGCCTGCAACCTCTGTCACAGCCTTCCAGGGCATGACCAGAATGGCCACCAGCAGATCTGACACGGCCAGCGAGATGACAAAAAAGTTGGTGACTTTAGAGCGCAGGTGGCGAAACTTTGTGACAGCTGCACAAACCAGTGTGTTCCCGAGCAAAGTGGAGAGGATTAGAACGGACAGAAAGCAACCAGTCAGAACCCGCATGGAGCGGTCGCTTTCCACCAAGCCGCTGTCAATAACCGTCGTCAAGTTCAAATCCATCACTGCCATCTAATATCTCACTGCATCACTAGACGTGAAGTGTTTGAGTCACACCAAAGTTCATATTCCATTGCATTCCGGTGCCAATAAAGTCCTTCAGGTTCAGTTCAGTTATACTGGCATGCCATTCAGAGAAACATAATGATATCGTAGTAGCATATCATTGATCCTGCATCCATCCAAACAAAGTCTTTACTCATCCATCCAGAGTTCCCTTATATATCTAGTAGAGATCATGTAGGAGTCCTTATGCCATAAAAGACTGAGACACGTTTCGGAGTGCAATGTGGAATAACCTGTTCCTGCATTTCTGTGTCAACAAAGAAACAAAACTAATATGAAGAGAATAAATTCCTACTTATAATAACAAGCAAATCAATTTAAACTCACCTGTTAGATGGCAGTGAAGCGCTTCTTTTTGCATTTATCCGAATAACGTTACACTGTTTGTTCTTTGAACCGTCTTCTCCGTAAAAAAAAAAGCGATTTGTTTGAATAAACAGGAAAGAAACCTTGTTTCGTGAGCGTCCTCGGTGAATGACTCTCGCGCACATTTATTCTGTCGAAATGAAGGTGTTATTCCTTCGGGATGCGCTCAACGCGTGAGACCCGACGCCGAGTGACATGACAAACACACTTCACAACGAGATGCGTCCAGCCAGAGCCCGAGGGGCTTGCTTGAGAAATTACTCTAACAGTAGGTCCGGTTTTAGAGTCTGTGCTGGAAAAAAAAAAAAAGAGAAAAACATTGAGTCACCGTGGAGCTCAGCGCACGTGCGTGATGCGCTCTCATGTTACGATTCTATTACGATTAAACTTGAACGATTCATGATCCATGCTTTTAATTAAATCTTTATTTTATGCGCAGGCTATGAATTGCATGACTCCGTTTGATTATCGCTGTTGTACTTTTTTTCCTCTTCTGTAGGCTACTGCATGAATGAATTGCTAATTAATTCATTCATTCACTTGAGTACTGCAGATTTACTGATGTTAACCTAGAGCCGAAATACCTGAAATAAGGAAATGTGTCGTAAAACTCACATATTTGGATTGTCAGGTATTACAACCTAAATCAAGTCAACGAGGCCACCTAATGGGGAGTGCCATACTAACCAAATGCGTTTCTTCATGCTTTTACATTACGCTCTTTTTTTTAATATCTAGTGTCACTTGTGAGGGGTCCTCCTCAAAGACTCTGTTTATTAAAATGCTAATTTCTGCATATTCGGTTACTACAATTATTGCAAAATTATGTTAGCAAGATTAAAAGCCAGCACAGCATATTTTCTATATATTCTGATGTATGCAAAATGTTGAACTAATGAGCTTATCTGATAATATACTGATAATCGTCAGGTTTAATCACCTAATTAGTCATTTGTTACAGTGAAGTGCCTTTGCATGATTAGGTAGTGAGTCATACTGAAGACCTGAATGGATTATTTCCTAGAGCAGTTTGCACTGTTATTGTTCCTAATCTATTTATGATTGTATTGTATTATTATTGTTTAAATATGTAATGCAATTTGGAAGTTCAAATGTCCTGTAAACCGAAAATATTCCACACAATATTGTTGGAAAAAATAAAAAGCAAGATGCACTTTTTATGTAATGATAAATGTACGCCTTCTGAAAAAAAAAACCATCAATATTTTCTAAAAGTTGAGTATAAACACACTGGCATGAGGAGGGTATGGAAAGTAGGATAAAAAAGTATATGGAGAGTATTTTTTTAACCTCTATCTTTATTTTCACTGGAAGTGGGTCTGCTCTTGAAATTTGATCAAACCTGCAATTTAGTGCAACTGTGTGAGAGAAACCTTTGTGATGATGAAGACTCCTTGTTGGTGGGTTTGATGCAACAAAGCTTTAGATCATGATATAGACTGACCTCAAAGCTGTCATCAAGATGAACACTGCTTAAATGTTTTATTCAGCCTAAGAACAGGTTTCTTTTAAAAGAGAAGACATGCATTAGATCTATAATGGGATATAAAATGGTAATTTTTCTGTCTTTTTTATGCAACAACTTTTGCATAAAATCTTGCAGTGCTTTGAAAGACTCAAAACGAGCATTGGTTACCAGAAGAAAACATACATTGTCTTTACCAATAAATATTGTATTTATTGTGACAATGCATTTTTGATGCCACATTCTACAATAAATTTAAAACGTTTTTACATTTTTAAAAGCATACATGCATAATTTTAAATATTGATCCTTGTGCATATCAAATTCATTTGTAGTCTCATGATGTGCACCATCACTGAATGCTTAAATTGATTATTATATTACTAAAATCACATCACTCACCGAAACCTGGAAAGGATCTATTTCCTAAGAACAAAGTGTACTTGATTGTAGAGTTTCTGCTTCCTGAATGCTGATTATTAGACTTGATAAGAAAACAAAAACAATATGTTTTAGAGGAAAATCGGTTTCTTAATATAAATACTGATATGTAAATTGTTAACGAATGTGATTGGTAAAGCCTCAGTGTATAAGCTGACCATATAAGGTGTGCTGACGCATATCATTTCCCTCTGCAGCTCTTTCCTGATTAAGGTAAGTCTGTTTCAAGATCAGATCCAGATCAATGCAGACATGGCTACTGGTTTCTCAGGTTGGATTGATGAAGCTTGACACTTGAAAAATCAAAGACACAATGATCTGTGAGTTTATATTTGGCCACCAGCAGCTCATAAATCACAGCTTCAAAGCAGACGATCTGTCTGGAGTCACCGAGGCCTGAGTTGAGAGCTTTTACACAAGCTCGTCGTCTGACATGTATGAATTATTTCAGTCACCACTGTCTGCCGCTGTCTAACTTAGTTTATCTCAAGCAACAAATCTGAAAGTATTGGTAGAGAACACATTTTTGGGGGCAGGAAACCAGCAAAATCCATCTCTTCCCCACACTCCTCCTTACAAAACTAACATGACTGTCAAGATAGCATCTTGTCAAATGTTTTGGTTCTTTTATATGGAACTTTCTGTCGGTTTTAAAAACGTCTTTTCTGAGATGATAGTGTCACAATCGCCTACTGTGTTGGAGCGAGGAATGAGGAGACGAGGAGTCTCCAAAAAAATAAAAACAGTCTTTAATATTCCAACACGGGGAGCACACACGGTAGCCAGGAGACACACACGTAGCATAGAGTTTACGTTTAATACAGGACCAGGGAGAATGGAACAGGCTAGAACTCAAATAGGGCAGATAACGAGGGGCAGACAGGTGAGGAGGATGAACTAATAATGAGACACACCTGGAAACAATGAACACACAATGGGTACATGAACCGGAAAAACCAAATATGGACATGTCACACATGAGGGAAAACATACACAGATAGTCCATATTCGTGACATATAGCATCCTCGCGTCTTAGGAACAACATGGGGTGGGATGGGTGGGAACTTGGGAGGAGGATGGACACCTGGGGGGGGGAGAGTCCCAGGTGGGACCCAGGCCACAGCCATAATGACGACCCACGGTGGAGCAGATGGAGGGAGGAGCCATGGAGGAGGAAGGGTTGATGACTTCAGGGGACCAACCGACTGCGGCGGAGCGGGTGGCAGAGGAGCCCGAGGCGGAGACGGAGAGCCGATGAGCCAGGGTGACGAGGAGGATCCGGAGGGCCAAGGCAGCGCAGATTCCGCCGGCGACCGATGCAGAGGCGGGGATTCGGAAGGCCGCGGTGGAGCCGGAGTGACGGAGGACTGAGGAGAAGCCGAAGGGATGGAGCCTGACAGAGCCGGAGGGACGAGGAGTCCTGAGGCGATGAATGGTCAACGACAGACCAAGGCGGAGCCGGAGGGACGAGGGAGCCCGGCGGAGCCAGTGGACTGATGGGCACAGAGGAGGGAGCTAGGAACCATGGTGGAGCCGACGGGTCAAGGCAGAGTCTGGGATTCAGAGGCTGAAGGCGGAGACAGGGGATCCTCCAGCCACGGTGACAATGGAGGATGGCAGACCCATGGAGCTCGCACCGTACAGATGGTGGGCTGAGGGCGAGCAGAGGGGCTGCCAGACGACAGCGGTGGAGGATGGCAGGAGCGAGTGGTTGTGCGGGAATTTGTGAGCCTCCGGGCTTTCAGGGCTGGTGTGCGCTGCCCACACAAACCAAATTGCGACTCCCAGCATGACGAGCGTGACTGACAGAGGAACGACTGGGCTGAACTCGGGAACGGAGTCACTCTCTGGGTAATACTGGGAAACAGGAGCCCACTCTGGGCTAAACTCAGGAACAGGAGCCCTTTCAGCCTTCCACATTCCCAGATCCATTAATTGCTCACCCTCAGCCACAGTGCAGGGGGTAGAGCTCCTCTCCGCGCTCTCACTGTCCATGACGCTCTCCCCCGTGGCGAGCTCTGTAGCCAGGCTAGGGCGGTGAACTTGGAAGCGACGGGATCCATGGGGAAAAACAGAAAACAAACACTGTAAAAAAACCACTGAAAACAAACGAAGGGGAAGACGCAAATAAACTATTTTAAAGGTTCGTTATTCTGTCACAATCGCCTACTGTGTTGGAGCGAGGAACGAGGAGTTAACACCAAAAAACTTTAATATTCCAACACGGGGATCACACAGGGTAGCCAGGAGACACACACATAGCACGGAGTTGACGTTTAATACCGGACCAGGGAGAATGGAACAGGCTAGAACTCAAATAGGGCAGATAATGAGGGGCAGACAGGTGAGGAGGATGAACTAATAATGAGACACACCTGGAAACAATGAACACACAATGGGTACAGGAACCGGAAAAAACAAATATCGACATGTCACACACGAGGGAAAACACACACAGACAGTCCATATTAATGACAATATGTTACAATCTTGAAATAAAGTTGTTGTTTTTTTCAGTTATTCCACGTTTTGGAAATCTTTCAGGGAACAGTTGCAAATAGAATAATTTTTTTAGTATGAAGAGCAATTCAATAATCTAAAGAACCTTTTTCCACTGTAAACAATAGGGCTGGGCAAAAAAAAAATCGATTTTTCGATTAATTGTTTTTTTAAATGACATCGATTCGATATCGATTCTCAAAAGCCGCGAATCGATCTTTTCCGGGAT